TAGCCAACGCAATCGGCAATCGGCACGTTCAGAATCAAAGGTACTCTTGAAATAGAGATACATTTTTTATCTATTGACAGGCGCACTTAACTGGCACCATAACGCCATCTAGTTTCAAACAAAGTAGAGCTTGCACTATGAAAGTTTGATTGACTGATAGAATACTTATATACTTTATTTTTAAATCCATACATATTAGGTCTTTACCTAAGAAATTGCCGTTTTGTATGCAATAAGTGAAAGTACTTATTTTTTCAAACTTTTTTATTTCTGTTATTCGAAGTAATCACCCATGCAATCGACGCATCTTTGCCATCGCATTGGCAGTTTATTGATGCCATTCTTGTAAAAATCAGCTGGACGGGAGGCAACAAACTCTTCAAAGGTATTTTGTACTGCCTCTCGGGAATTGAATTTTTTACCCACTAAAAAGTTGTCTAAATTTTGGAAAAAGTAATAGTCGGTAGGTGCACTTTTAATAGGTTAGGATTACTTCCTTGATATCTAAATGTATTACGTCAATAAGACTTGCAGACGAAAAGGTCACAAAGCAATACAGATATCAAAGATAATGGGACATCATCATTTAAATAATTTGTTAAATCAACATGTAATTTACGTAATAATATGTTGTTATTAACTTTACTCCGAATCTGTTCACTCTGCTCGTATAGGAGAAAAATATCCACTGTAATAGTCCACTGCTGGACATATGCCTCTCCTTAGAAAGGAGCTTTTGGCCTACAAGAACGTGTTTTTACAACAAATCTTTGAAATTCTGAGATTTTCTCTACGATAATATGTATGTACCTATTATACATGTAAACCTTCCTCTTGAATTACTCTCTTTTGGTGAAAACCGCGTTAAAATCCGTTGCTTAGTTTAAAAGATCTAAGCGTACAACACAAAAAGCGACTTTGTTTGAAACTATGTAAATAAGCTAAGAAATTAAAAATCGAAAACTGTATACCTTCCAAAATGTTCTATCGTTTCTTTAGCAGTCTTCTCCACGCCCTCGTCGGTTCCTAGATCAGCGACAATGGCCAGCGGTTTCAGCCCCGACTCCTTCTCGCACTGGTCCGCCACCTTCCGCAAGTTTTGTTCATTCCTACCGACCAGAGACAAGCTAGCTCCTAACTTCGCGAACAAAATTGCCGTCGCTTCTCCAATTCCTGCGCTGGCTCCGGTCACTAACACTACTTTATTCTTGAAATTTACATCCATTTTTAATTGAAATAAGTGTACGTGTGGTGTACTCGACTGTTTGTAAGAGAATGCCGAAAAGTTGATACATTTAGATTATTTTATATCAAGTTACAATCAAAAATTGCGTTGAAGGCGTGATGGTCAGCTGCGGTGCGACAACTTCAAGTGTGTTAAGTTATATGATGAGCATGTATATTGATTCTTTGATGCACGAACATTGCCGCCTCGTAAATGATAGAGAAAAAACTTAGCACTTGAAACGCTTTACAAAATATAAAGTTGAACTTAGCAACTATCTTCAAGTGTATGCACATAGGTTGTAGTATTTTGGAATCTGAAATATCCCTGGGTTGTTAGGGGTTCAAAATATTTCTTCAATCGGAATCCAGAACAATCTCGGCTGTCCGTGGTGGACTCTTCTAAATAATTGGACTGCACGTGGAGTAAAAAATATTTAAATGAGCTGAGTGTTGTGGGTTTGATCCCCATATGGGACAACACTTTCTGTGATCGGCAAATTGTTGTTCTGAGTCTTGGTGTTCTTTGTGTCCGTTTCATGTATGTTTGTAAAGTCCCCCGCGATACATGATACGAGTATATTCCTAGTACAGGAGTTGTCTTTAAAAAAAACTGTCATGGGCTTTTGTATTACCTAATATCACATTGACGATATTATTGAGGCGATAATAATTGAATTCTGTTTATGCAGCAAGCCTGTGGACGTTCAAAGCGTACTTTAAAGATTAGTTGGGTAAATTTATATAATATATAAATATATGGCAATATACCGATAAAGAAAGAAAATGTCTGGCTGCGGTAACGTTACTCCAGCAGGAAATGATTTAGTGAAGTGACTAAAAAACTATAAGTGCTGGGATAACGCACAAGTTAAGACTGGGGACCCCACTTCCAAAGTCGTAAAGCTCGAAGTTACATGGTAGCGGCGTTTTCTGTTTTAATTAGCAAGTGCGGTCAGGGCTCCTAAAACTCAAAAAGTCTGACTTGCTCACCGAAGATTTTGTAGTTCGTGTATTCCAGTAGTCTTATATATAACTTTGATGTTCTAACACTCTTACATACATCAAGATACGTAGTTCCATCAATTTTTAAAACGCAAAAGACATAGGCTCGGAGGAAGGAAAGGGTAGATGAGGATATGTAAGCAATAGCTCGAGCAATACCCGTGTCTTGAAATGGCTATTGCTGATGTGCCTGGGCCTCCTTGACTGATCTGTTATAACCCTACAAATTAATAAAATACATTGAATTAGTGACATAATTATATCCTTATTAACAAAATTGTGACAAATTTGTTAAAGAAGTACATAGACCACGGCTTCACATTATTTTTAATCAGAGTGTGAGTATCACTTTATCGGGTCAGAGCTGAACTTCCAGAGAGAGTGAACCTATACCCCCCATCCACCTCCGCAATGGTCCCGGTGACCAGCTTGCTATTGTCGCTGGCCAGGTACGCTATCATCTTGGCTATATCCAGACCCACACAGACCTCTCCCATCGGTATCGACAATGAATTTTTCTTTAACCATTCCTGGTATTCTTCTTCGGTCCACTTGGTTACACGTTTCGCGTTGTTTGACTCCTAAAACAAGAAATAGTAGAGAGAAAAACGTAAGACGAGATTCTTTGTCCCTTAAAAGTACATTATGACAATGAGTTATAGCATTTTTATAAAAAGGTTCTACTTTTTGTGATGTCTGTGTAATACTGTAAATATATATAAATGTGTGTTTATTTGTAATATTGTTTTATTTACAGACAACAAAGTCTAAAGGTTGTCGATAACTTCCTAAAATGCTTAGAGAAGAGGACGGCACGATTTTTTATTTTGAAACGACTTGATGGAGCCACTAACGTGTCCCTAGATAAAATTGTAGTTACTTACAGTGAGGCCGGGACTGACAGCGTTAACCCTTACTCCATGTGGAGCCAGTTCTAAAGATATCAGCTTCGTGAAATGGTCCAGCGCCGCCTGGAAATATACATATTATTACATTATCACTTTAAGAATAATATTAGGTCTTTACCTATGAAGTTGCCGTTTTGTATTACATTAATGATTAATAGACATTTACTCATGATGGTTGAAACAGCAGTGTACATGGATTTATTTTCAGTTTTTCTACTACTGTAGGTATATGTATGGGTTAGAACTCTTTGAGTAACGTGAACAGGGAAAATTTTTTCATAATTCCTGTTTTTAATGCATGTATCTCTTATTTGTAAAGGCATATTTTCCAATTTAGTTAAAAGTTCCAATGGAAAAAGGAAAGTGTGTTATTTGTCAGTTATACATAATACTTCTAACATTCGACCGCAGCTAAGTGTTTCCTGCATATGTATATAAAGATTATTATTTATTGTGTATAAGTGAATAAAGATTCTGCGCCGTAAATTAGATGCACTAGTTTGATTGATCGATTTGGGTGCATGTGACAAATATGTGGTGAAATAACGTATAACATACACTGCTCAAGAATATTTGTCTTGTCTGTTGTCTCGATTTGATTGCTTGTGAAGAGATTCCACTCAAAAAGTAATCTCCACATGACTAAGCACGATCTAGCTAGTTTAACAATCTGACGTAGTGATACCACATACAACTAAACTAGACCGAGAGGTGGAGCTGGTGGCGTACCAAAGAAATAATACTGGGCCCAGATGAGAACCTTGAGGAACACCTGAGGCAATTGCATACTTGTTTGACTGGAAACCATTGACAACCACATAAAACTCCCGATCAGCTAGATAAGAAACAAATCATTTTAGAAGATTACCGGTAACGCCGTGTGTCACTAGTTTTTTAACAAGCAATTCGTGTGAAACTTTATCAAACGCCTTGCTGAAATCCGTATAAACAGCATCAACCTGCATACCCTTATCCATAGCTTCGCATAATGATGATGAATGTGATAACACATACAACTAAACTAGACCGCGAGGTGGAGCTGGTGGCGTACCAAAGAGGGCTGCGAGTGATAATATTTGGCCTGCTAAAGACGCTTCGGGTAAGCTTTGAAGTGTCCCTTCCAGTTGTTGAAAAGCTCAGCTCATAGTTATTGCAACTACGTGAAACCGTATCTATGTAGCTTTGTTCCATGCGTCATTTTATAATAGAGATAAGTCAATGATTTCTTACCTTAAACATAGCATAAGGTAAAGAGCCAACAACAACAACCGTTGCTGTGATGCTTGATACGTTGACGATGTTGCCCTTGGTCTTCAGCAGGTGTGGGACCAGGAGCCTCGTTAGGTTGTACACACCACGGATGTTTATTTTGAAGATCTCGTCAAAAGTCGCCATGTCAGTCTCCAGGATCCGCGTACGAACTGTAACGGCGGCATTGTTCACCAAAACGTCTAGTCTGAAAAGATTAAAATGTTAATAGACACGAGGGCTGCAAACAATCAAGCGTTTGGGTGTTCCAAGATGAGCCCAATCCAACAAAAGTCATTCAAACTCAAACTCTCTTTATTTCACAAAATTTTCAAAATTGTTTGAAATCGTCTTTTATGTAGACTCTAAAGTCATAGATCAACACACACAAAAGCAACAATCTCTGTTTTGTCAAATAGTAAGCAAATAAATTTAACAAAAATCAAACCCATACAAAATCTATGATATGCCTGTGCTGATCTACATCCGCCCGTTTCCAAGGGGTTGAGCCTTATGAGAAGAAAGGGCAAACAAACTCATGCCCACTCTTTTGCAATTCACAGATAGATACAATGGCACTATTAAATATATAGTACTTACATACATAATAAATAGCTATAATAAATAGCTCGGCAACATGGTAAACCTGCCTAAACATAGTAGAGACTCTAGAGTCTCTACTATGTTTAGGCAATCTGTAATCAATAAGTAAAGTGTATAATATTGCATTATATTTCAGCCAGATACATTTGCGTCCGAACTGATTGCTGCACAGACTGGACAACGCTTGCAAATGCACTCTCACAAAGTATTTGTCCCTACATCTACTTTTCCATGCAAAGCGATGAGTAACTTTTAATTTTCTGAGTTATAAAGTTGGTATCACAAAATTACACTACTACAACGCCTCTATTGAATATTTTCCTGAATTAAGATGTGGAAGACGAATACGAATTGTGGAAAATGGCTGGAAGCTTATGCGGACCGGGTTGGCTCTCCTTGATCGAGGCCTTCGTTAGCAGTGGACGATAATAGGCTGAAGAGTAAGACAAAAGTAAGATGTGGAGAAAGAAACAAGATCAATCAATCAACCGACCATAATTACAAACGGCAAGATGCCTGCGCCCTTTCTCGTTACGATGACATTGAAATGGCAAATGTGAGCAGAAACCGTTGTGTTTTACATGAGGAGAACTCACCCTAGCTAAATGACACATAGTAAAATGTATACAGTAATGTGCATTCAAACAGTTGCTCTTAGAAAAGCAGTTTTTTATAGCCGTTATAAAAGTTTAAGTTTGAAATCCTACTTATATTTATTTCCATGTTAATAAATGACTTTAAGCTGTCCAATTTAACTTTTATTTTAATAGACACTCATACAAAGACTACTCCATACCTCCCAAAATGTTCGATCGTTTCTTTAGCAGTCTTCTCCACGCCCTCGTCGGTTCCTAGATCAGCGACAATGGCCAGCGGTTTCAGCCCTGACTCCTTCTCGCACTGGTCCGCCACCGCCCGCAAGTTTTGTTCATTCCTACCGACCAGAGACAAGCTAGCTCCTAACTTCGCAAACAATATTGCCGTCGCTTTTCCAATTCCCGCGCTTGCCCCTGTCACTAAGACTACTTTATTCTTAAAATTTACGTCCATTTCAAATTTAAATAAGCGTACGTTAAGTTACCACACGGTTTTACTCGGCTGGTCGTAAAATAATGCCGAAAATTTGATAAAATTAGATTATTTTATATAAAGTTGTTATCAATTATTACATTGAAGACGTGATCGTTAGATGTAGGGCGTTAGATTCAATTGTCTCAAGATTTACACACGAAAATTAAAGAGAAACAAATCAATTATCTTAGCATATTTAACGTTATCGTAATTGAAACTATCTTCAAGTGCATGCTAATAGGTTGTAGTATTTTGGAATCTGAAAGATCCCTGGGTTGTTAAGGGTCCCAAACGATATCTTCAATAGGAATCTAGAACAATCTCAGCTGCCCGATGTGGACTGTTTTAAATAACAATTAAAATGAGATGACCCGCCCACGTGTACTGGGCCCATGTATTATCTATAACCATCATCATCATCATCATCAGCCTTTTATAATCAACTGCTGGACATGCGTCTCTCTTTAGAAACTAGGTTTTGGGCTACCATACCACGCTTTCAAGACGTGTGGCCAGAAGTTTCCTTCTTTTTCCAGTGCTATTGTTCTGCTTAGTTTATTATTGTTCGGCTCTTACGATAGCCACGGTAGTTAAAACCACACCACGAAAATTGCCTTTTTACATTTCTAGGCTCAACTCATTCGAGTTGGCATTTTCAGCTTTTAATTATTGAATTTATTAATTTGTTGAGCTTTGAGTGTAAATAAAATAATAATAATAACTTCACACAACTCACACACGGCCGTGTGATCCTAAACGGGGTAGAGCCTGTACTATGGTAACCAGACTGCTGATAAACAGACGTATTTATTTCTAAATACATATTCATTATAGATAGGTTCTGAAAGTTGGCCCATTAAGAGAACGAATAAGAGACGCCTGAACAGACAAGGTTAGGAATGAGTATACACGAGGGACTCTGAAAGTAGCGCCACTGGATGAAAAGTTAAGAAGTAATGGGTTATCTTAGTATGGACATGTCATGCGGAGGGATGAGGAAATTGTGGCTAAGAAAGTATTAGGTATGGGAGTTGAAGGGTACAAGAGCAGTGAAAGGCCAAACAAAAAGTTAATGGAGTGTGTGAGTGAAGATATATATGTAGAGCTAGGAGTAAACAGTGAGATAACGAATGATAAGAGTAGAATGGACGAATCATACTTACTGCGCCGACCCCAAATAAGATTGGGATAAGGGTAGGCAGATGATATGATTTGTTATTTATAAATTACACCCAGACACAGATAAAATGATGGTGTTCACCATACTCTAATTTGTTCTGGATTTAAATCTTTGCCAGTGACTTCACTACATAGAATTTGTAATAATATATTGAGGTATACAGTTGAGCTTCAACGGAAGATGTTCCAGAACCCGGTTGCATCGCTACCTAACAGGATCGAAAGTGAGTTAAAAGAAATCTAAATGCTCCAGACGCATAACAGTTTTTCGTGAAATAAGAATCGAATCGAATCTACCTACCGGGTCTAATTTGTTAGTTTGTTTTAAAAGGCAAGTCCGCAATAGGAACATATCCTTTACAAACATACATGAAATGGACACAAAGAACACCCAGACTCAGAACAACAATTTGTAGATCGCATAAATTGCTGAGTGTTGTGGGGATTGAACCCAACAACAAAGTAGGAAGCAACAACAACATTTTTCTATGACATACTAGCTGACGCCATAATATCGGCACAATAAGTTTTGTTATAATAATACTCGTAAAAACTCTTAACACTGGCACAAAACAAACACATCGACCGGTCAACTTCGATTTCAACGTTTTGCGGTATTTAAAACAAACCATAGACAACATTAGCGTGAAAACGTGAGCTGTCAGTAGCTTTTTGTTATACCATTTATTACAAATGAACAGCTGGACTGACGTTTTTTAATGTTTTTTTTTATTGATTAATATCATATTTTCATATATATAATTCTATTCCGGACGAAGAGGAATCTAAAAACACAAAAATCATAAAAATTGGTACAGCGGTTCTTGATTTATCGGTAATTGGTGTAACTAACACAACTTTAGTTATATATACATAGATTATATCTACTTGTGTATGTGCCTAAACATTATAGTTTATCGTATACTAGCTGCCCCGTGCCCACTTCGTTGGGCATAATGTTAATAATCCTTTTTTAGTACAGAGTGTTATGTTTTAATTTCTAACTGCCAAAAGGAGGGTTATACGTAGGTATAGTTTGTATTTGCATGCTAATACAAAATTCGAAAGTAACTCTGTCCGAAAGAAAAAATATTTTCTGCGGGATTTGCGATAAACGAATTCTATGAGGACTAAGTCACGGGAAAAGTTAGTCTGGTTATGGTAATTTTAATTGTTCAAAACTTCTCTGTAAACTGTATTGGATGTAATGTTATCATTTGGTAGCAAAATATATTGTTTATCAGGAGTTCCAACCCGAGATAAGCCAACATATAACTGCCCATGGGAAAAACACGGCTTTCTCAGGTCAATGCCCACCAGAGAGAATGTTTGACCTTGGGACTTGTTAATAGTGAGGGAAAAGAGTTCTTCACTGGAAACTGCAGCCTTTTAAAAGGTATGGGTAAGTCAGTGGGAATCATAGGTATCCGCGGAATATAAGACAGTTGTCCCACTGCTGGCCCTGTGAGAATGGTCGCCACGATTATATTGCCCCGTAACTCTTTTGTAAGCAGCCTTGTCCCATTACACATGTTGGGGGGGGGGCTCAAGTTTCTTAAATAAAAAAAAATATCATGATAGGAATGCCAACTTTTAACACAAGGTCGTGAGGAGGTAAGCTCAAAGAATTTAAATATTCTTGGGGATAGTGCATTGTATCCTAAATATTACACACCGTATCAATAGACTTATAGTGTTTGACCTGACCGGGAATTTTGTCTAAAATGAGTTTATTTATTTCATTCACTGCATCGTTTCTGGGTGACACTATTGCCCTAGAACATAGCCAATGATAATCTCTCTCCAAAAAATTTTCAAGACCGTTGTATATTGCGTCAATAAGATGTTCCAACCTGTGCAATATGTGTCCTAATGTCTCGTCAAGTTTAATGTAATTGCTGTTGGTGTTAGGAGAGACAATTTTTCCTTCGCCAAGATTGAGTAGTTGACGCGGAAAGTCGTCATCGTCGTTGTCGCTCAAATGGGCTCTCATGTTTGTTCGTAAATTGAGAGATGCAACCGAACTCCATAAGTGAGATGATTTTAAGCATGCTCTGATGACATCGGCGCGTGTTCCTTTTATTACTACAGGCAGTGTTTGCCGAAAATCGCCCGCAAAAACAAAAGTAACGCCACCCATTACAGCATCAGAGTTTCTGAGGTCTTTGAGCGTTCGGTTTACTGCTTCAACATGAGCTCTATGACTCATGATACATTCGTCCCATATAATTAAAGATGTTTCTTGTAAAAGTTTCCCGAGTGGCCCATTTTTACGTATGGAACAAACTGACTATTGCTCTAGTGAGACTGTCAGAGGTAGCTTAAAGGTGGAGTGTGCTGTTTTCCCATCATTTAACAGAGTAGCGGCAATCCCCGAAGAGGCAACGGCTAGTCCATTTCTCCCGGATTGTCTTACTTTTGCCAATACCAAATTTGCAAGAAATGTTTTGCCAGTGCCTCCCGGGGCGTCAAGAAAGAAAATTAAACCTCTGTTATTTAGCACACTGTCAATTATTGCATCAAAAGCTTGTCTCTGGTCTCTGACTAATTTCGGTATATTTTCATGAATACAACTGACAACTGACAACTCATTGGTATCGTACGAACGTATCAGTATTATGTCCGATGCATTGTTATGTGGCCGAATTGGAGAAGGTAAACCAAAATCATTTAGGGTTTTCTCATTTAGTTCTAAAAGTCTATTTTCTATTTGTAATAGACCTTCATTGTACATGTTATCATTATAGGGTAAAGTGAAATCCTGATTCTGCTGTCGTATTCTATGTCTTATGTCGTCACATAAATCGTCTTTGAAGTTTTCCCACAAACTGAGTGGTTCAGATGGGTAACAAAATAACAATATCACCACAAACAACTCCCTCAACTTCAAGGGACATTGAGAAATTGAGGCTTCTCATAGAGTGTTTTCCCACTGGTTATCGTCTTCTAACAAACCTCTCTCACGGCAAGTAGCTTGGTTTTCTTTGACAACTCCGTTCACAGTTCTTAAGTCCTGAAATGAGGTGGGGCCACGTACGTGGTGAAGCAAAACTCGAAGAAAGAAACACTCCAATTGAGAAGGGTGCACACTATATACTCTTCCGAAAGCAGGATCTTTTTTTATTCCAGGATGACCAGCGACATCTTCTCCGCGTTTGCTTCGGGAAAATTTGTTATTAGCCCAGGTATAATAGTGGGGAACTTCATGGTAAAGTAATGTTTTTGCGAAGTTGTCGGAATTGCACAATTCAAAGAAAGCAGTCAAAGTTGTTTTTGGTGGATTTTCAACAATGCTTTGCACATTAGCTGGTGAAAAGTATACTCTTTGACCGTTTTCTAAATGTACGGCCAACCGCAGAATAGTAGGGTGTCTGTCATGGAGAGGAAATTCCAACAGTCTTCAGACCGCTTCCGATGTACTTATGTACCTTCCGTTTACATAATTCTCAACTTCATTATGAGCATTTCTTACACCAAATGTTGCCTGATCAGACCCTTTATTTACATACTTGCAGATATACTTTATAGCCTGAACGGAATGACAATACTCCACGTTTATGTAGGCGTTAAAAGTTCGACAGAGAATTGGAGAGTATATAAAATTCAATCTTTCTGAGATCATTTTAGCCATCATGTCAACGCAGTATTGACTGAACAAATCTCGATAATAATGTAAAGTATTGAAACGATTCTCTATGATCATAAGTCTGTGTGCCACAGCAGTGAGCCTTTGCGAACGTTCAGTGCTAGACTCCCTTGCACAAATTTCCGCCATATTTTGTCTATTGTTAGCAAGTCGCTGAGATCTTTCGGCGCTGGTCTCCCTAGCACGACTTTCGGAAGTAATTGCTCGTTGGCTGGCAAGCCGCTGAGAATGCTCGATACTGGATTCCCTATGACGTTTTTCTGAAATATTCTGTCTAAGATTAGCCAGTCGCTGAGATCTTTCAGCGCTAGCACAAGTTTCAGAGGTAATTTTTCTTTGGCTGGCAAGCCGCTGGGAACGTTCTATGCTCGACTCCCTATCACGTGTTTCTGACATATACTGTCTATAGTAAGCCAGTCGCTGAGACCTTTCGGTGCTAGACTCTCTAGCACGCGCTCGCGATCTGTATTCTGTCTCATTCGCAAGGCGCTGTTCATGCTCAGAGGAAGTCTCTCCAAGTCTGCGTACTGTAGCCGCTCGTGTCTGGGATGTATGTCTAGACAGTTGAGATTTTCTTTTAGGCATATTGACAGTTATGTTTTCAAAAGAACATTTAAAAAAATGGAACAGTTGTTCTAAATAGTTTTTTTTATTATGGAAATAAAGCAAATAAGCAAGATGAACATAACCTAAATGGAAAAAACTAAATACCTATAACCTAAGTTAAATGAAAACTATAAACAGAAAACAGTTATGAAAAGAAATTATTTTTTAAAAATGTACAGAAAATAAAAACTTTTAATTTTTAATGAAAGAATAAGATAGATATAGTTCTGATAAGAACTTTTTATTTAAACAATGTCGAAAGTGTGCTAATTACGTTTCGAAAAATTCAATTTCGGGGACGTCCGCTGCGTAAGGAGCCGACCACGCGACTGAGCCGTGTGGGTACCTACCTCTCACATGTAAAAGGCCACGCCCCCTTCTCCCGAAGCGAACCCGAAGCCATCGCGCGCCGTCCGCTGCTTTGGCCTTCACACTTAAGGCGATGAGTTTACTTATTTTCATAAAGATTCATAATTTTTGGTAATATAACTAATAAATATGACCTAACGATTTATTTATTTTATTAATATTAATAATTAAATTATCTATTCTAATATTAAAAAAACTACTTTTTGTAACTTAAATATAAAAGTTAGACATATGCTGTCGTTGACTTTTTTGTAGGCCTTTTCAAGCTCCACATCTTTTCTCTAGAACTCAAAAATATATCTTTCATAGTTAAGGCAGCGTTCGCAAGAAATGCTTTCATTCGACCGTTTTTTCTCCGATTCACTTTGCAAAACGGACTACCACGTAAAAGTTTTTTATTTTTCGGTTTTTTATAAAACCTATGACACAGCAATAATGTGGCTTTCTATTGGTGAAAGAACTTTTAAAATCGGTTCAGTAGATCCCGAGATTACCCCCTACAATTTAACAAATATACAAACACACAAACTTTACTTCTTTATAATATTAGTATAGATTATACGATAAACTATTTGTAATGTTTTTTAACCCTAGACATACTGCTATCTTAGTGTATGCCATAAAAATATGTTTATAAGTTATGGTTCATCGTTTAATTTTTAACCTTAGATGTTCTGTTATCTTTGTGAGTACAATTAAAAGTTGTTAAATAACATGTGTTAGCATAACAATTTATATTGTTACATGTCAGGGTTCATTCATTTGGAATAATATACCTTCTCAAGACTATAGTAATTTTATTAAATAGGGGCAAAGGAGTAGACGGGTCACCTTATGGAAAGCGTCTACCGCCGCCCATGAACGCCTGCAACTTAGGAGTCACAAGCGCGTTGCCAGCCTTTTAGGAAGGAGTACGCTCTTTTCTTGAAGGTTTGATGGCCGTATCGGTCCCTAAATACTACAGCTGATAACTTGTTCCACAGGGCCTCAATTCTGCTATTTTATTTTTACGCCAAGCCACTGTCATACCACTGACACGCTATTGAGATGCCATCGAGTGGCAATTGGCATCGGTATAAATATCGGTAGTTGAAAATATATTACGTTTTTTGAGGAAATGTTTTTTTTATTTTTATTGTTTTTATTGTTATTATTAAAATAAATAAATAATTTAAAATAAATTATTAAAAAAAAACTATAAAAATAATAAAAAAGAAATACCTATTGTTTTAATTATATGTTAATTACATATTATTGCATTGATGTTGTGATAGAAAGCTGCAACAATCACATGATTGTAAGAAACCAATTTTACTAAAATCATATATTTTCAGCAACTGAAATGACGAAACGAAAGAAACAAAATAAAATATTCTCCAATGTATAATTTTAACCCGTTTCGTAAATTTTTTTCATCCTTTTATCCAATACTATAGTTAAACCGCCGTAAGCTTGGCCCTCCTGATGGTTTGGGGGACGCGGGGCGGGGGTGCATTCAACCAATTAGCTAGTGCGTCGCTGTCCGCCGGCAGTGACTGACGTGAAAGTATGGCTGTACGTGTTATTTTTCTTAAGACTGCTACACACGGTATTATTTTGCAACATGGATAATCTGCCGACTCTGCGTCACAAAAAGATTTAAAAACTTGAAGATCGGCTTACAGAGGTTCTACTGTTAAAGTTCTAATAAAGAATATTTATTATTTTACTTAATTTTTAAATTGTATCTGAATATAATTTACATGATGAAGATAAGGTGATTTTATTAAAATTATTTTACAGTATTAAATTTTACAATTAATCATAAAAACTTACAATACACTGACATTATAATACATGGAAATAAATTCAATTGTTATTACATCGTGTGTAGATTAAATCTCAAACAAATAAATCTGAAGATATCGAGTTAGTACATCGTGTCATGTATAGCCGAGCGCATCACCCGCCCCGCGTCCCGCAAACCATCAGGAGGGCCAAGCTTACGGCGGTTTAACTATCGCTGACTCAACTTTGTCTGCAACATTATTTATTGGTGCTCCGCTCCTATTGGTGTTAGCGTAATGATATATAGCTTATAGCCTTCCTCGATACATGGGCTATCTAACACTGAAAGAATTTTTCAAATCGGACCATTCATTTTTTTTGACAATTTCCGTATAAAGGTTGTCTGTAAGAGATCGCCGTGAGCGATAAGACCGCCTATTGTTATACCGAAATGTATTTAATATCTTTATATATAATACTTCAATGGTGTACAATAAAGAGATAAATAAATAAAAATAAATAAATAAGTTCCTGAGATTAGCGCGTTCAAACAAACAAACAAACTCTTCAGCTTTATAATATTAGTATAGATTTTAAACGGAATAGGAACCCGACATAGCCTACCGGATCAGCAAGCTGAAGTGGCAGTGGGCTGGCCATATTAGCCGCAGAACCGACAACCGTTGGGGAAAACGAGTTCTTGAGTGGAGACCGCGTCTCGGTAAACGTAGTGTAGGACGCCCACAGGCCAGGTGGAGTGACGATTTGCGCAAGATGGCTGGCAGGAGCTGGATGCGAGAAGCCCAAAATCGATCTAAGTGGCGTGCAATGGGAGAGGCCTATGTCCAGCAGTGGACTGCGATAGGCTGATGATGAGGAACCCGTGATACTGCTACGAGTATATAGGTAAAATATAGTTAAATAAGGCAAAAAATATTTTTACCTAGTATCGTAAATGGTGAGCGTTATAGTGACAACCCTTACACATTCTTAGTCGAGACAATTTTGTAGGTATTTAGTGGTCTATCAAAAGAGTTGACTCACTGTATGTAAATACCAATAGTGAGTCACATTACAGCGTTTCCTTACCCAACCCATTTGTGATACTTGCCGAAAATCTTCCACCTGGACACGAGTTGCCATGGCTGACCTGGAAGTCTCTAAACAGACTCCAGACACAGGTAGGCCGAAGCAAAGAAAACCTGTTCAGGTGGAGATTCATAGATGACTCTGCCCTGGAGTGTAAGTGTGGTCTTGCCCCACAAACTATGGGGCACTTGATATCGTGTCCAGCCTGTCCTGTTACTTGCACATCACAGGAACTGATGGAGGCTACTGAAAGTGCCGTACTCGTCGCCAAATTTTTGGCCGACTCAATTTGAATTGTCATCGACACGCTAAGAAGAAGAGTCACATTACGCACAGGACAAAACTCAATAATAATTATAATAGTCCGGAATGATGGACTCTGGGTTACACTTATTCGCTTAGATCGCTTTGATGTTTTTGATGATGAATTCGTGAAAATATATTCAAGAAGTGACTCAAGTCCGTTTGATAAACTTGTCTTGTTTACTTTGATGTTTTGTTAAGAGATTGCGATTTCGATGCATGATCTAGTAAGTTTACTAATCAATATACATTTTCAAGGACATTTAGTGCGGTAGGTATTTCAAAATTATTTTAATCAGTATTTTTATTAGGATTGGGATTTCTTTTGTACGAAAGGAAGATTTTTTGATTTTCAAGTAAATACTAGCTATACTAGCTACAATAATACTAGCCTTATAGGACAGTAAATCTGTACTATAATACGGGAGAGAGATAATTCAACAATCAGTCAGTGGCCTTAAAAAAGATCACAAAAGAAGAATAGTGAGAGCTGGACATATCTGCATCGTGTCCTTAATGAGGCTCGCACTTGACAGCTGACGAGGCTTCGGACACCACTTCCGAAATCAGTCCCTAAGCCTTCCGCGCTCCCCGCCAGCAATTATTGCTACCATGCTGGCGGATGAGGAGGGATGGGGCGTAGTGGTCTCTTTCTGTGAAGCTGTAATGCTCCAGAAAGAGACCGCTGAACGGGATCGGGAGAGGGCCGATCCCGAACGTAGAGGACGTCGGCGCCGATAACAGCCGTCGACGGGGCCGCGGGCCACCAGAGGTCCCCTCTCTGGTGGCCCGCGGCCCCGTCGACGGCCGATTGATTGCTTGATTGATTGCTGCGGTAGGGGATGGAATGACCGGCCTGATTGCATGAAGATGCGATCGGGCCGCCATGCCGCGATTGAGGGGGAAGTGTTCTCCCCTGGGATAGGACCTGATTAGGCATGGTGTCAATTCGGGGTGGACCTGAAATAACATAGTCCGGGGCCGTCGGGGTTGTTTTTAGTTTAATCACCATATACTCCTGGCTCTTGAGTCTCCGAAGAGCAGGAGATCCGAAGGGATTTTCTACCTTTTTCTACCCCGTCAAAAAAAAAGCCTTACGTGCGACCTATGCCAAATAAATATGTGATGAGCACAGTCTTTTGTTTTGTGTCTGGTTGTAATTTATCCATAATATGTATAATTATTTTTATCAGCAGTCTGGTTACCAGAGCAAACAGCCGTGTGTGAGATATGTAAAAATTTTGTTTTTATTATTATAATGGCCCTAACACTCGAAAAGGGCGAATGTGACTCGCTCACCAAAGATTCTGTTGAAACTTACATTATTATGTCGCTCATAATACCTTTTTCTAGGTGTCATTCCGAATCAAATGAGTTATCGTAGCGGGAACAAGAATGAACACGTTTTTTAACTTGTTGAACTAAAGTGTCAATTAGAAGATTTCATTGCG